TCAGCTTTCCTGACGTCGCTCAACAACGTTTATTCCCAAGTTACGATTCTCTTGTATTCCGAAGGTCGCGTAGCAACATAGCAAGTAGCAGTGCGTCGCCGAATCTGCTTTGTTTTCCTAGCTTCAGTTATTATGGCTCCAAAGGTCGAGGGAGAGCAGAAGGCAGCCAAGAAGGGCCCAAAGAAGGAACCCACGGCAAAGAAATCTCCAGGAGCAGGAAAGAAGCTTGCGGGGGAGAAGGCGGAGAGGAAGAAGTCCCGGAAGGCCGTAACAGAAACGTACAAGATTTACATTTATAAAGTTTTGAAACAGGTAAGCTCGTGAGGTTCCCTTCGTGGCCCTAGATCGTTCCGTGTTATATTGAGCAGGGCTGACGCATTTCGTATACGCCGTGTTTTTTCATATACGATGCTCCATTGCAGGTGCATCCGGACACTGGCATTTCGTCCAAGGCCATGTCCATCATGAACTCTTTCATCAACGACATTTTTGAGAAGCTGGCGACGGAGGCGTCGAAGCTGGCTCGGTATAACAAAAAGCCCACGATCACGTCTCGCGAGATTCAAACAGCAGTCCGGCTTACCTTGCCTGGCGAATTGGCGAAGCACGCAGTGTCAGAGGGTACCAAGGCCGTCACGAAGTTCACCAGCGCGTGACTTCCGTGATATAAATTCGACGCTGTTGAGCCACAGCCGAGTATTTTTGTTCCTTATGGGCCCTTGTGGCCTCTGTATAGTTTTAACTATGTTAATGTACTAGACCTCAGCTCTGAAACCTCCAAACACGATGTCTTAGTAGCTGGTGTCCTAGTGGTTTATGATCACATCTGGGTTGGGCATAGTGAGTTGATCCCACATACAAGCGGGTACACCTGGGCTCCACTAATTTCAAGCCCTGGAAAATGTTTTCAGAGACACCCTAGACCAGATTCAGCCGTATCTTTCAGACGCCCAGAATCAAAACGATATTGAGGACACTCTCCTCAACGATTGTTCAAGACAATAAATCCCTCGGTGGATCAGGCTTACCACCCACTCTGACGGGAAAATTTTCTAGTTGCGACCTTCGTTGCGTCATCGCCCTCACAAGGAGTCCGAAACCTTACCCACTTCAAAATATGTTTCACTCTGTACAGCCCTTGGTCCCAGACATAATAAGGGTAGCTACCCGCGAGCGCCCAATTTCGGGCCTTGAAATTAGTGGAGCCCAGGTGTATGACAGAACTGCAGGTGGACAACGTCTGGATGCAGTATTTGCGATCAAATGAGACCAATGGTGGGCAGAACAAAGTTGTGCTGCATACAGTAAAAGTTTAGTGTACACGAGACGGGACTTTTGAGACTCCAAAGAACCCTCGAATCACACAACTGTCTCCCTGAAGGACCTTCAAATTTCGACGATCTCCATGTCCACCTCATGCTTCCACCTCCCCCAGCCCCAGCTGGATTTCCAACTTTTAGCACCACTAGTTCTTCTCTTGGAGTTCGGCTTTTGAGGGCTCAACATAGTTTCTGTCCATAGTTTGACCTAGATGTTTGCCCAAGATACTTTCGCCTCGCGCGTTTGTTTCCGTCAGCAAGACCTTTTATGTTGGAGGGTTTGTTCAACTGTCAACGGATTTCGTCATCATGTCTTGTCGTTCATCAGCTGACCTTACCGCCGGCCCTTGCGTAATAGAAGGAAATTTGGCTGATAGAACACCGAATCATCGATAGAATGCATTTTGAACGATAGAACGTAGCCAGTGTCCGCATCATTTCCGAGTCTGCCACGTGTCACGTTACGACACTATGTTTACGCCGAACGACATTCCTCCGTCCCTCGAGTCAGCTCCAACCTTCCGCCCTCCCCCGGAAAACGAGGCCGCGCAAAGCGCAAGCGCGTACGACCTCGTTCCGCCGTCCCTCGAATCAGTCCCGACCTTCCGCCCACCCCCCGCCGATAGCGCATCCTCACGGGGGCTTGGCATTCCACGAGGGAATGGAAAGGCTTCGGATTTAAACATTTCAATATCGCTCTCGACCAATTCAAGGGAGACTCAGGGCGGAGGTATTGATCCTAACGGGGGCGACTATAACGAAGATGATGACCGGGATGGGGTGTTATCCCCCGCTACTCCCACTTTCACCTCGTCAGGCGTGAAAACGATCCGACCTGCAAGAAGCCCTGGACACGTGGCTCATCCAGAACCATCCGGCCCACACGATCTCACCTTCTCTCGACCCAATCACGCCTCCGCTCCCGCCAACCATGGGGTCCCCGCCGAACGCCCTCCGCGCAGCTCCTCCCGCGGCCCGCGCGACCTCTCCGCGCTCACCATCAGCTCCCCCCATCCCAGCAGCAGCTCCGCGCGCACCCCGCGCGACCTCTCCGCGCTTACCGCGCTGCTGGAGCCTCCGCGGGAGATGCGCCACAACGGCAGCTTCCGCAGCAGCAGCGCGAGCGGACCGGGCGCAACCCCCAGGGGGATGAGGAGCGGAAGCTTCCGCGCAAGCACCCTCCGCAGCAACAGCAGCAGCGGGGGCGGAGGCGGTGTGGGCGGCGGGGGTGTAGGTTTAGGGGGAGGCAACACCGGTGGCAGGTCGTTTAGAAAAGCTTTGTCTTCAAGTGCGAAAATGTTGAACGCTGTTTCTGCTGTTGGCGAAGGCGTTGGCGAAAGTGGTCCTTACGGTAACCCTAGGGCTACCAGACCAGCTACTTCGTACAGTAAATCGCCCACGCGGCGAAGGCTTGCGAGCTCCCATGCGTCCCGGTCTAGACGAAACCTGCTCCCGCCAGCAGCACCAACAGCAGGAGGAACAGGAGCAGGCGCAGGGGCAGGAGCGGGAGCAGGAGCAGCAGCAGGAGGAGCAGGGGCAGGAGGAGCAGATTCAGCTGGTATGGGAAACGGTATTGAACTGGCTGAGAGTTTTTTCCCTGAAGCTGACTTGCTCGTCCTAGACGACTTAGAAGGTTTGGAAGAGGAGGAAGAGGAGCAAGACGCGGAGGAGGCGGAGGAGGGAGCGGAGGGAGGGGAGGGGGAAGCAATGGGTGGTGAGGAGGAGAGAGCGTTTTTAGAGGGGAGCTATGAAGCTCAAGCTGCGGCTGCTGCGGCGGCAGTGGCTGCAGCGTCTGCAGCGCTCCTAGCTGCGAAATCTCCCCGGTTCTCAAAGGCCACTCCTCGCTCCTTCAGCTCCCATCGTTCGTTCAAATCCTCTCGAACCCTCAAGTCCCCACGAGAACAGCGTTCCCCTAGACTTGCTGGTTCTTCCTCTTTCTCCCACTCTCCTCCCCACTCCTCTTCCCTCCTCTCCTCTTCCCTCCACTCCTCTCCTCTGCACCCATCCTCCTCTGTACGTTCCTCCACTCCCCGAGGCCACCCCGCCCGCACCCCAAGGTCGCTCCGAACCTCCTCCAGCTCCAGGTTCGGACAACCCGAACCTGATAGGGGTTTTGGGGAAGCAGATGGTGCTGCTGAGGGCAGCACAGGTCCTGCTGACGATATAGACGATATTGTTCCTGAATCTCCCGCCTCCCCTCGTTCCTCCTCCTACTCCTCTTCCTCCCACCTCTCGCGTCCAAGATCTCCCTTTAAAAGTGACTTTACCCGTGGTGACAGTAAGGGATTTGGCACACGTGACTATAACGAGGGGAAGGGAGGCCAGGAGGTGGTGCAGGATAAGGAATTGGAGCAGAGCTTTCCAGGTACTCCGAAATTCCTGCCCGAAAATTTGGGGTTGGAGAGGCCGGTCAGCCCGCTGAGAAGTCCATCTGCCCGGATGAAAGCTGGGGAGGGGGTTACGGCAGGACTTCTGAACAGGCTTATGCTGGCTGATCCGTTCGCAGGTGGGGAGGCAGGGGGGAGTGGGAGTGGGATTGGTGGGGTGAAAAGGGATGGAAGGGGAGGTGAAACACAGGCAGACAGGGAGAAGGTAGAAGTAAAGGCAGGAGCAGAGGCAGGAGCAAAGCCAGAAAGAAAGGCAGAAGCTGACGATGCAGGGAAAGCGGAAAGGGCAGTGATGGAGGAAAGAAAAGGAGGCGGAGAAGAAGCAGAGGAGAGAAGTCAGCAGCACAGTCAGCATCCTAGTCAGCAAGCAGGCGAAGGCCGCGACACAAGGGGGAACCAAGGAGCAAAAGTAGTAGGAGAGTGTCTGCCCAAGCAAGGCATATCGATTGAAATCCCAACCAGCCCTGTAGCCTTCCCTCGGGCAGCTTCCGAACCTTCTGCAGTTGCCGAAGCTGGTGCCGAAGCTGTGGGTGCCGAAGCTGGGTACGTTCGGCTGGCCACCGAAGCTCCGCGCCGAAGCAGCTTTGATCTGGCGTCCCCTTTGGCCCAAGCCGTGCTGCCTCGAGACGTTTCCATGTTCCTGGGAGAGAGTGAGGGAGTGAGTGAGGGAGTGAGTGAGAGAGAAAGAGAGGATGGAGGCGTGCAGAATGTGAGTGAAGCAGAAGGGAGGAGTGAGAAAGGAGGGGATGGTGTGGGAGACGGTGGGGGGGAAGGAGGTGATCGGGGAAAAGGGAGGGACGAGAATGGTGTTGCTGCAGATGCTGCTGCTGCTGCAACTGGCACTAATGCAGCTAATACGCTTCCTGCTCACAGTGTTTCTAATGGCATTCCTCCGAAACCGAAGCGGCGAAGCGAGAAGGGCGAGGGGAAGGAGAGAGAGAAGAAGGAGAGCAGCAAGAGCAGCAGCAAGAGCGGCAGCGGCGGCGAGAAAACTAGCAGCAAAACGCGTAGCAGAGCGAGCAGTAGGGCCAGCAGCAGGGGGAGTGAAATTGAGGTTGCTGTTGATTCAGAGGCAGTTTCTAGGTCTGTATCGGAAGCCAGTTTAGCTAGTGCGAGCACTGAGAGAATAGTGGAGGCTGGTGAAAGTGGGAAAACGGATACGGGTACTGAGAACGACGGGGATAGAAAGCATAAGAGCAGCAGTAGCAGGAGCAGTAGCAGGCACAAGGACGAGAGTAAAAGCAAGGGCGGGAGCAGCAGCAAGTCTAAGAGTGAGGAGAAAGAAAAGGAACGAATGAAGGATAGGAGTGACAATAAGGAGAAGAGACGAGGAAGAGAGGGGGCTGGTGAGAAAGAGAGGGAGAGATCGAAAAGCAAGGACAGGCATAAGGAGAAGAAGAGGGATGAAGCGGAGAAGGGGGAGGGGAAGGAGGGAGAGAGGGATGAGGGGAAGGAGGGAGAGAGGGATGAGGGGAAGGAGGGAGAGAGGGATGAGACGAAGAAGCATTCGTCTCGTTCCAGTACAAGCAGGTCGGATAGAGAGTCGAGAAAGGAGCGGGAGGGAAGCAGCAAGGAGAGCAGCAGTAAGAGGGACAGCAAGAGAAGTAGTAAAGAAAGCAGTAAGGAAAGAAGCAAGGGGAGCAGCAGGTCGAGCAAGGACAAGGAAGCGAAAAAGAGCAAGCATGGGACTAAAGAGGGGAGGGATCCTGAGGGGGCTGAAAGCATGGATGCTAGTATTGCATCTGAGAGTGTGGGTGGGTCGAGCAGGCGAGGGGAGGTGGAGAGTCAAGAAGGAACGGAGAGGAGTTGTAGCATTGGGGAGGACGGGTTCCACCCAGGCTTCTGGGAAACCCTTGCTGCTGGTGGCAGCACTGCTGGTGCTTCTGGTACTGCTGCTGGTGCTGCTGCTGATGTTGCCGCTGATGGTGCTGCTGACGAGGAATCATCCACACAGATGCCACCTAAGACTCCTAAAACCCTTCTGGGGGGTTTCGGGGGTTCAGGGTTCAACAGCCGCAGCACGGGCAGTAAAGACTCGCTCTCTCGACTGAGCACCTCGTCGCGACCCTCCACCTCCCTCTCCTCGCGTCCCGGCACGTCGTCTCGCAAGTCTGGAGCGTCGAGCTTGAATTTCGTGGAGAGCGAGTTTGATGCGATTGTGCAGGAGTTTTCTCGGTCGAAATCGACGGGCTCGAAAGGGGTTTCGGGGGGGAGACGAGCGGGGGATGGGAGGAAAGAGGGGGGAGGGCTAGTGGAGGAGGAGGGGGAAGGGGAGAGGGGAGAGGAGGGTGAGGGAGAGGGAGAGGGAGAGGGAGAGGAGGAAGTGGGGACGTATGGGAAGGAGCCGGTTTTGAGAGGCGAAGGGAAGGAGGGGAAGGAGGGGAAAGGGGAGGCGAAGGGGGAGAGGAAAGGAGCAGCAGGAGGGGCGGCTGGACGTGCAGCAACAGCAATGGCTGCCGCGTTTCGCGAGACCTCTCAAAGGGCTGTAGCGACAGCTTCATTCGCGCCACCCCCCTCGCCCCGAGTGCTTCTATCGAAGGTGGAGAAGCTGTGGAAAAACTCGGGGAGAAGGTCACAAGGGAAAGGAGGAGCAGGGGGTGGTGGTGAGTGTTCAGATGTCCTTGTTATATCCCATGAGGGGGAGGAAGAGACGGATCCAGTGGAAATGTTAAGGCGGGTGGAAGAGGAGCAAAAGAAGAGAGGATCTGTGGGGGCGCAGGGGTGGGGGGCGATTGGGCATTTGAATGCGGATGATAGGAGGATGTTTTGGAGGCCTTCTTTGCCGCGGTTGGAGGAAGGTGAGATGGACGAGGAGACAGTTTCCGACTCTGAAAGGACACCCAAAGACCGTAGGTCAAAATCGTCTTCAGTTTGAGTAGGTGGTATTTATTCGATTTGTATCGGTAACATTTCTTTGGTACATAATTATTACCGTAGGCGAAACATGCAAGCGGTAACACGGTGCGTGCGAGCTAGCTAGTGCGATGCTGGCAGCGAGGTTCGGGCTAGTACCGAAGCGTAGGCTGACTCGGGCCAGTCCAGTGATGCTTGGTTTGGTTAATTGTGCGCGCGAGGCTGGCGAAGCCCCGTTAGCAGTAGCGGGCGAAGAAACGGTTGGTCCTGTACGCGGTGTTGAAGCACGCAGTAAAGAAGAATGCCTAACAATATTTACAGTTAGTCTCAAATATACGAAGTGCTGTAATTTCATGCGATGCACTACCCTTTTTTCTGTGGTGAAGTCTGGTTGTACGAGTGAAAGGCACATCACAGACGTACCGTCTGTACCCGCCCATGGCGGCTCGTGCACTTTTATTGGTTGACCGCCCTGAGCGCTTTTCTTGTGTGTCGTCAGCACGTTTCGCGCAATACGGAGAACGTTGTTTGGCGAAACGTTACCAGTAATTGTTTCACTTCAAATGTGAACTGGATGATTGTTCGTTACTCTTGGCCGCTTGACTATTTCGCGTCGGGCTTCATCCACGAAACCGGTTCAACTGGTCACAAGAGTGAGCAACGCGCCGTGCGGGCGACACCTTGACACTCACACCGGATGCTGCGCGTGTCCATCAGCACCACCAACAAGCCCCTCTCAATGCGACACGACGCGACGTGACGCGACGCGACATGCCTTCACTTCCATCCCGCCTTGCAATCCATCCGCGATGAAGGAATTTCCGGGGATAGTTCCCTCAAAACCATACCAAAACGTCAGGTGATGACAAAATTGGTTTTGGAATCGTAATGAAACTTCCTAAACCGATTAAAATAGACACCGGCGAAACCTCCGAGTTTTAGCTTCCACAACCATGTACACGCTCACCACCACCTGCACGTTCAGTTGTTGGCCCCAAATCAAGCTCTTGCACCCCTTCAACCCTGGGAAGTGGCAAGCTTGGGGAGCCTAATAATTAGTCATTTACCCCATTTCAATCTCTTGCTCAGGAGCGTTTGACGGAGTAATAGTGAAGACCACGTTCTTGCGTCTCTTATCAAGTCGTCATTACAAACGCCTAGCACACTTGGGGCCTCGTAGCACTGTGAAAACTTCTGATGTGTCCCACCAAGTGACTTCAGTCAGACTCAAAAGGTCACTCGTCACACCATAAGCAGAACCGACGGAAAGCAGAACAGCAGGAAATCAAAGCAGCTCACCAGACCTCTTCGCCTCGGGCCTTATCTCATCACCATGAAACGCCACGTGCGGTCCGTCCTTCCCGCCCTCGCATACCTCCTCGTGCCTCTCGTCCTCTTACTAACGCGTACAGCCGTGGCGCAGCAGTATCCGCTATGTCCTTTAACGAAGCAGCCGCCGTCGCTTCCAACAGTCCCGTACCGCCGCTGCATGGATGCCGCGGCTGCGTCGTGCTGCACGGACTGCAAGGAGATTCAAAACGCGCTTGCGGGGGTGTCGGCGAACGTTTCGATCATCATGCCGCAGCTGCTCACGCCGCTAGGGCCCATGAATGAAGTCGACTACTCGGGAACTACGGTACGTACGGAAATAACTCATTAATTAGTGGTGGTAAAGTCAGGTTTGCTGCGGTACAGATGAGTTCTGCCGTTTCTATCATCATGCCGCAGCCGCTCACGCCGCTAGGGCCCATGATGGAAGTCGACTACTCGGGAACTACGGTACGTATGGAAATAGCTCGGTAATCAGTGGTGGTAAAGTTAGGTTTGCTGCGGTACAGATGAGTTCTGTCGTTTCTATCATCATGTCGCAGCCGCTCACGGCTCTAGAGACCAAACATTCTCGAGAACCTTGCAAGTGCTCGTGCCGTTAAGACCGCTATTTTGGAGCTGCTCTCAAGAGCTGCCCTATTTTAGCTTCAGAGCGTTTTCAAAAGAAACCCCCATTGAGCACCCCTAAATGAAGTCGACCACTCAGGAACAACGGGCCTCGTCGGGTTTTTTTCTCACAATTCTGCTTCAGTAGTACTCCTGCAACCATTTTCTAATCATAAACTCGTAAACCACCCTTTCTTCGTGTAACACGCGTGTTCTCATCTTTTTCGTGCCTCGTATGCAGGCGTGCGACTATCTGTACGGCTTGGACGACTGCCAGTTTCATCTCGAACAGCTCCTCTGCGCGTTAACTTGTAACCCCGGTACGTACGTCGTTACGTCCGTTAGTTCCGCGTTATTATGTGAACCCACCTTCTTCCTCGTCTCTTCCCCTTTATTCACTAATTTCTTTTCCCTTGGGACTTACACATCCGACGGCAGGCGCGTTTACTCAGTCAAACACCGTTCTGTTCGCCGTTCGTTATGTCCTCCCCACTTTTCCGTCACAGATTCCGGCAACTACGTGTTCGTGAAGGCCGGCAGACCCATTCTGCGAGTCTGTCCGACGTACGCGCAAGAAGTGTTTCAGTACTGCAAAGACGTCTCACGTGAGTGTAGATCAGTTTGTTTGTCAGTGTTTCCTTTCGTTTTTCACTGCACCCTTCGCGGAAGAAGTGTTTCAGTACTGCAAATACGTCTCATGTGGATACCAGATGTTTTTGTGATGATTTTCTTGCAACTTTCGCTGCACCGCTCACGTGACTGCCAAGCCTTTTTATGTTTCTTTTTTTCTTTCATCGTTTCGATTCGTTATGTGCCTTGTCATCCTCCCACACTTATTGCGCTGATTCTCTTTCGTACTCATAGCGGGCACTATGCTGCTTGGAGCAGGCTTTCCACTCCACAAAGGAGTTGCTCCTGGGGCGTCTATTCATTTTTTCTTCTCAAACTCCCCCATCTCTACCCCGTCTCTCCCCCATCTCTCCCCCATCTCTCCCCTATCTCTCCCCTATCCAAATCAGTGGGCACTGTGCTGGTCGGAGCAGGCTTCCCCACTAAGGAGCTCCTGCTGGGTCGTCTTTTCACTCCGCTCGTGCAAAAGCTCGGCATTGGAAATGTCGCCTTCATTGTTTCCGAGGTGAGACTCCCGTCGACTTTTTAAGTCAACTGAAAAGTCAAGCTCGGCATTGGCAATGTCGCTTTTATCGTTTCGGAGGTGAGACTCCGGTTATTCAGGTGAGTTCCTGGTAAGAAAAGCATGATTTGATTTCTTATCGGCCCTCCCTGCAAACTTATCCGCGTGCCTGTTGTTTTTGTGTTCTCCTTCTAGTACTTGGCTTGCACCCTTGCTTCAACAAGGGAAGTTTTTTAACTTTCCGTCTCCCTCTTCTCCCTTTCTCACCCCCCCTTTCCGTCCCACTTCCCTTCCCCTTCCTCCTGTCCCCCATCACACAACAGAAAAATTGCTACAGTGGCCCTGCAGCTCTCCCCGAGCAGCCCGCCTGCTGCGACCCTCTTTACGTCCCTAAGGAGTGCCCCTACGGCTCCGTAGACACAAAGAAATACGCGGCCTTCATCGGCCGTTCGATGGACGGCGGCAATGCGTCCAACGCTTGCCAGTGGTTCCCACTCCCAGAGGATCCTAATGCTGCGCCGCTGCCCGAAAATCCTCCACTTCCTTACATTACCGGAGCGGCACATGACCCACCACCTCCTGATGTGGGCACACCTTGGTCCTCTGAGCCTGTGCCTAAGAGCAATCCAAGTGTCATGAGTTATAAAGGGGCGGGACGTGTGAATATTGCTGGTGCAGCAGCTTTTATAGCTACTCTGACTGCTGCTGTTAGTGTTTTTGCTGGTTGATTAGCATATATACTGGTACTAATTCTTGATTTGGCATTCACGTCATTGCAGGCAATGCATTCGCAAGTTCGATATTCCCTCATTTTTGTACTAATTCTTTATCAGTTATACCGAACAGGTTCATCTTCGTAGTTTGTGAACTAATCAGTAAGTTTGCCAAATAAATTGGTCCTGCTATTTTTGCGAAAGATTCGACGGTGCGCGTATGTCCAATTTATTCCGTCCATCAATTCGCTTGGTACTATACCCCGCCCACTCGTACCTCATCCAGAAGGCGGTTTGTGACAAGGAACAAAACAGCCACGAATAATGATCTCATAACTGACAACGTTCACAAACAGCTCCGACAAGGAAATACAGCAGGGGAGTTTGGATGCTGTGTTTATTGATCCGCTTGTGCGCGGAATGAATGTAGCTCCTTGGGACTCTCCTGACCTTCGAACAGAAACGGACCTACCTTTCAAAAATCCACACTGGTTTCACTCACATCCTTCTAAGCATGCGCACGACCATTCCCCACGCTCATTTCGCATGTCTCATCGGAGCAAGGTTAGTCATTGAACTTCACGCCTCGTTTATTAGCATCCGCCTCCGCATTATCCGCGTTTGCCTTGAACGTATTGAACCTGGTCGTCAGCGCCCCCACGGTTCTCTCCTGGCTCGCGCGCACCGCCGCCTTGGAATTAAGCACCGCCTTGGCGCTGCGCTGCACCGCCAGCTTCTGCTGCGCAATCGCATTCGACGCCTTCACGTCCGCGTCCGCCGCCTTGGTGCTGGCAATCTTCTGCTGGTACATCGCGAACGAGTCTTTCTCGTCCTTCTCCGCTTTCTCCTTTATCGCTTTCTGCTCGTCCGCGGCCCTTCGCGTCTCGCCTTTGTCCTGAACCTTGCTTCCGTGCTCCGTCGTACGCGACTGAACTCGATAGTCCGCGTTTGCCGCCTGCTTCTGAACCGCCACTAAGATTCGATCCGATTGCAACTTGATGTTATACGCTTCCAGCTGATACGCCTTTGCCTCGGGAGTGCCGAGCTTCGCCGCGCTCCGAGCCGCGGAGTTAGCTTCGGCAAGCGCCTCCGCGGCGATCTTCGTTTGCTCATTCATGATCATTTTGGTTGTTTCCAGTCGATTTTGAGCATCGACTATGTCTTTCGCCGCTTCCGCCTCGTCGAAGAGAGCTTCTTGGGCTTGCTGATCAAGCTCATCGTAGTATTCGCGCTCTTCTTTCGTCGTCTGCTTCGCCTGGATAGTCGCCTGGCGTACCACCTCCTGCTCCTGCTTCGCGCGCTCCAGCGCCGCCTTCTTCCCGTTCAAGTCCGCCATGGCGGCGTCCGCCTCCGCGTCCGCGTCCGCGGATTTCTTCGCCGCGTCGCGCTCTTCCTCCAGGCGCGCATCGAGCACCGCCTGTGCCTTATCCAGGACATCCTTCGCCTGATTGGCCTGCGCGCGAAGCGTCTTAGCCTTGGAAGCGATGTACGCGGCTTGCGAGGCGCTCAGGCCCTGCGCATCGACGAGGAGGCCAGGGTTGAAGTTGGTCGTCGTAGCGAGCGCGAGGAGGAGCAGAAGGGCGACCTTGGGGCGATTAATGGCCATCATGCCAGCTTGACCAGGTTGACCGCCCTTGTCTTAAAATTGGCGCGAAGATGAATGTGATAATTCCCTCAATTTAGGCGCAGGAAAAAGCTTTTCACAGGGAAGATTGATTGATGCGCGAATAAAAGGAAGGTGGACGGCGTAGTGGTTCCTAATGGGGGAGCTACCTTGAATGTAATGACGACCTAGTTATGGGAAAGTATCTCTTATACACAAATGAGAGCACACCCATCTACCTATGAGGGCTACGGGAACAGAGAGTGTGTGGAATGCTCTCACAGCGAGCCGCGGGTGGTTCGTCTGACGTTGAGATTCCGAATCGGCGACGAGCAATTTGGCCAAAAGGATAGTCGAAGTGATGCGAGTAACCAGTCGAGAGTGTTCGAGAATAGTCGAATGCACCTAGTGGTGGTTCTTCGCACATCTCGAGGCCATGGTTTTGTGCGATTCGGAGAATCCGCCCTAAGGACACCTCCCTCTCTGCTGGTGACTTCGGTGGTGATCCACTGCAGGTATTTCTGGGGGAGAAACGGACTTCCGAAAAAAAGAGGGGGTGTGAGTGTGGGGTGGGGTTGGATTAGGTGGGTTGGGGGAAGGGGGGAGCGTAGCGGGCTGCATTCGAAACCTCGAGAAACCCAAATTACAACTGGCATTGGAGTGTACACATTGCGAGCCGCGCCAGCCATTGAGCAGCGCGATGAAAAGACGACCAAGGTACACAATTAACGGAAACAGTTTAGGTTGTAGTGTAGACTACTCGAGTGGGGGACAGCGTCAGGTTTTTCCCACTGGACGCAAGGATCCAACTTATTCGCACTTTTCTATTCTACTTATGTAAACACCGACACAAGGGTGATTTCTAGGTGATTTCTATCAGATTTCGTCTGCACGTACAGGTCCCATTACAGCACTATTTTATGCAATAGCTTGCAGCCTTGATTTACGCTCTACACTAGCTTGCAATGAGGGGCTGGTGCGGGAGTGATGTCGAACCCGACCCGAACACAACCCAAACCACCAGCGCTTCCAAGGCACTAAAACGTTTGATCTACGTCATGCCGAGGTGATGCGGTTCGAGGAGTGTTGCCAGTGTGGTCGCCTGGGGTCAACGCATTTGTGCAATGCTTTCCCACACGGCGACCCGTGGGTGGGACACACGATGGGAGATGCGAATTCGCGACGCGGAATCTCGCTCGCGATGCCCGACTCCAACACATGGCTCATCAAGCATGGCCTGTGCAGGTTGCTCCTTGCCCCCACACACCACTGAAGGCGAACACAGCAAATCACTAGTGTTCAGTGCGTAAGCGTCCAAGGAGAAGCCGCACCTTCTGTTTTTTCGCTTTCAAAAAGAATAGCTCCACCTTGTCAGTGTATCGCCCTAATTGATCGAGATTCGTGATCTTTCTGTACGAAGTCCTTTTCTTAAAGGTTATTTTAAAATTTTATAAAAATGATAGCAACCAAATGATTTTATTTTGGTTTAGCGGCACTAGAACCTTCGATATGCCAGCCTGGAGAGCACAGCGGCATCAGGCATGATAGCAACCAAATGCGCCATGCGGCACGATGTACACAGCGTAGTAGAGTTCAACATGCTCTTTAGCTGCTTCGGTTGACAGCTCGGACGTTCTTAGCTGATCCCTGACATCATACACAATCCAAATTAGTTTCATTTCGTCTCTTTACTGTTACCACTTGTTCTTTCGTGACTAGCCAACTCGGCCACTGTCTTAGCTTTTCAATCTTCCTCCCAGTGCTTCAGTAGTCGCCCGCACTCACTCGGAAAGACGAGTGACCCCTCATCGGAATTTTCCAACGTCAACAGCTGCAAGCAATCGAATAGCTGCGAATTTTGAACAATCATCGACGTCGTGATGTCGACTGCCCGCGCTTTTGTGGCTGCCACTCTTCTGGCATGTTGTGTCGCGCTTCTCGCCGCTCCTCCAGGCGCCACCGCTCAGAACGCGTTTCTCGTAACCAAAGCCAAGAAGCTGCGCGCCGCTGCAGATCAAGCCGCGGCGGACCTGAAAACCGCGCAAGCGGACGCCGCCAAAAATGCGGAGGAAATAGCCGCCGCCGAACAGGCGCTATCCGATCTGCAGAGCCCGGAAGACGCGGCTCTCAACGACCTCGTTACAAGCGTCTCCAACACAAACAGCAGCGTCGCCGATGCGCAGTACGACTTCGACATTGCAAACAAGGTTCTTGCTCTTCGGATCGCGGATCTCGCGGCGTTCAAAGCCGAACCGTCAAAGCACCCGCAAATCCCGGCGGCGCAGAAGGCGGTCAGCGACGCTACTCGGCGCGCGAAAATGGCGTCAACGCTGCTACAGGAGTGGCAGCTGGTCGTGCAAGAGGCAGTGCAAGCGGAAGCTGACGCGGAAAAGGCCCTAAAGGACAACCCGACCTCGCCCGCGGCGGAGGCGGCCCTCACGGGAGCGCAGGAGCTGCGCAAATCTGTGGAAGAGGTGCTCCCGGATATGGTGGCGCAAGATCAGCGTGCGCAGGCGCGGCTGGAACGCATGCAGAAGGAACTGGACGACCTGGTTATGCTGGGTCCGCAAGGAGAGAGTGTTTTCCAAATGGCTGTGGACGATGCAAGAGCTGCGGTTAGTGTCGCCCGCCAGGTGTACAACGATTTGCTTGCTGCTGTCGCAGACGCGCAAAAGGCTGTTGACGAGTACCAGGCGAACAAGCAAAAGGCGGTTACTGAAGCGAAGTCGCGCTTGGCGAAGGCGAAGCAGAGCCAGGCTACGGCTGACAGGAAGGTGACTCAGCTCACGGATAAGCTCAAGGCTGCGATGGCACAGGCTGACAACGCAGAAAAGGCTGTTGGGATCAACAAGATCGCCTAAGGGCGATGTCAGGTTGTACAACCCTTCGTACGCTCTCCGTGGTCGACTGCGTTTCGTCAAGGTGCAAAACGGTGAAAAGTGAAAACCGCTTTCCACCGTGTGGAACCGTCCTGAGCCACGATATAAGAACTGTGAACGTGTGAGATTTGTACAACCTGACGTCGCCCTAAGGGCGTGTAAAATCCCTGCAAAATTTGCGAAATCTGGTCGACATTTCTTTCACGAAAGTCGACGGATTGGTCGACTTCGTGTCGTCACATTTACAGCCACTATTTGCAGATTTGCAAACTTTACAGGTTTGAGGGCCTAATTTCAGGCCGGTTTCAAAAAGTTGTAAAATTTGCAGTTGCTACAGTAGGAACGTATGTGCGATGGGGTCTCTCATTTGACGCGAAAACTCTAATTGGACAGGATAAAAAAAATCAGTCGTTCTGCGAGACCGTGCGACGTCGTACGCGACAGCCGCTCGCGGTGTCGACAACTTAGCCGAATGGGAGTCGACATGATGTCGGATAATAGTCTACCTTCAAAACAGCCTCAATTTCGTTCTTTATTGGCAAAATTGACGACGGTTGCTAGGACTGTTGATGTAACCAAGGATCCAGTGGATAGGATAGAATTTGTTAAGTATGAGAGGAAACAATGAAATCTCTGTAGTGACCTTGTTGAATAATAATGTGGACCATGTGAGAAATCTTGGTGATCCCGCAGAGGTCGACGCAGCGTTGGTACTGCTGACGTGGTAGTTTCTTCGTTAAGAAATCAGCTGCCATGTCACCAGTCGGGCAAAACGTCAGCTTGAATTTGTCGATTTCATCCTTCACAAAGAAGTAGCGAAGGGCGATGTGTTTGGTACGGTTGACGAAGCCGGGCTTGTTCGCGATCTTTATCGCGCTTTGGTTGTCGCAGAGTAACGAGAAATGCCCGTTCATTTTCGCCTCTTGCAGGAGCTCCATCAGGTACAGTCCTTCGCGAACAGCTGCGCTAGCTGCGATGAATTCTGCTTCTGCTGACGAAAGAGCGATGAGTTGCTCTGAGAGTTCCAGGAGATGAGTCCCGCTGGTTGGAGTTGAAAGATGAATCCTGTGCGGGAGCGTCGGTTGTCAACATCTCCAGCGTGGTCGGCATCTACGTAGCCATGGAGCAGTGCCCTAGATATCAGACTTTGGAGTCTGAATCAGAGTCCGTTCAGACTTTTTTTTTGTACCTAGTCTGAACTCAAAGAATTTATTTATGTACCTTGTCTGATTTTCTAGAGTTTTTTCTTATGAGTTGTCTGAAATTTCAGCCTAATTTTACTAGGGTAGGCTGAGCCTCAGACTTGTATCGGGGGTACACTCTGCGCGCATATCGGAGAGAAGTTTCCTGGAAGTTTCCTTCCGATATGCCCACTTCCGAGATGGCAGTGGAGTGCCAAGACGTGAGCAACACTCACTTCGACAGCTGGGACATCGAAATACACTCGTTCGTTGCGAATATCTTCCAGTTACGCTGAGGAAATGGTTGCGTGATTACGAGATTTCTGAAGACAAAATCTCGATACATGTAAGTTATCGCTTATGTACTGTAAAGAATAGGCGACTTTGATGCTGATTCGCTGTAAAAACATATGCAACACGCACTGCTGTGAATTGCGACGTTCCTGATTCGTAGTGAAAGTTTCGTGTGGCACTGTCTGATGCTTACATGCCACGCCAAGCAACAGCTTCTGCCTGCTGCCAGCTCAGCTGCGTGACACTTGGCCCACCTGATACAGATCGGGTGCTCTACTCGGGCCGAGGGTGTCGCGTGGCATTTGGCCCACCTGATACAGATCGGGTGAACGATCGCATCGCTTGAAAAGCAAATCCAAAACGGACAAAATCGGCACACATGCGAGAAAATGGGTACAGAACGGTAATCACACACAGGACAAAATGAAATGAGATCAGCAGCAGAGCAGAAACAACCATGCGCTGCATGTGACGAAAACACCAGAACGCCGCCGACATGAGCAGAGGCGATGCACGAGCACGAGCACGTTGCCTGATGCGTTGGTATGGTATGCTGTAATCAGCTTCAATGCTATTATAACTGCTTTTACGAAAGTGCATGAACATCTTAAAATTTGAAGTAACTCTGACAGTTCAGACAAAAAAAATTGTGCCTGTCTGAATTTTCAGACTAAAATTTTGAGGCACCTCTGACAGACAGAGTTCCAGGAGGGGTGTACTCTGAGGCCTCAGACTACCTCAAAACGAATCTAGGGGCCTGCCATGGAGTTGCAGAGTAGCGGTGAGGTTAGCTTCGTAAGTGAGACCGACGTCAGGAGTGGAGATGAAGTACTGTAGTGCTCGGTGTAGATCCAGTAGATTCTCCCCTTCAGGTCGCTTCAGGTACTGTGCGAGCTGGCTTGCGACGTAGGAGAGATCGGGCCGGCACGTGACGACGGCGAAAAGGAGACATCCCAGCTGCTGCTGATAGAGACGATGGTTGTCGGGAGAGAGCGGTGTGGTGTCTGGCTTGTGGTTAGGAGGAGGAGTGCGGTAGGGGGTAGTGAGGTTGATTGGTGCGATAGAGAAGCGCTTCGCGAGTGTTTCGGCGTACTTGGCGACGGAGAGGTGAATGGAGGAGGCGGACTGAGTCACATTGAGGCCGAGAAACTGGGTGACATTGTGATTGATTGTCACCTCCAGTTTCTCTTTGATGTCGGCCTCAAACTGGTCCAGCAGCTCCGTGTTGTCGCCGGTGTAGAGAAGGTCGTCGACGTAGGCGACGAGTAGTATGAATTTCCCGCGCGATTCTCGTCTGTACATTCCGAGGTCGTGCGGCAGCTGAGTGAAGCCGAGCTCTAGGAGGACGGAATGGAGGTACTACTGCCATAGACGAGGCGCCTTCTTGATTCCGTAGAGGGATTTTTGGAGGAGGCACATGTCAGAATATGTTGTTTGTGTAGCCTGCAGTGGGGCACTCAATAGTGAGTACAGCCCCTTAGGGTTTGTTATTTGTATCCTGCTGCTTGCTAGTTCCACCATTCCTTCTCAACTCTATTCCTGCACACAATCGTAGCTCGTACTTGGCGCCTCCTCGTTCTAGTCCTACTATGGCCTAGGCTACTAAGCCTAGGCCATACTGCTACTATCTTTGACATGGTATCAGAGGGCGGCATCTCTGCCGCCTTCCTGTGTATGGGCCCACCACCCGCTTTCGCTGCCCTACTGTCCGCCGCGCGCCCCGTGGTGCGCGGCGGCGAAACCCTAATTTCTGCCCGCTGCGCGCTCGGTGCGCCTGGCGGTTTTCCCTTCCGTGGCGCCCGTCGTGGTGCCCTTGGGAGGGCCTCCGCAGTCCCCTCTCGTCGAAGCGTCCGTCGAGGCGCTCTCGGGGGCCCGCGCGGCCTCCCCTCCCGTCGCCCGTCGAGGCGACCTCGGGGACCCGCGCGGCCTCCCCTCCCATCGCCCGTCGAGGCGACCTTGGGGGCCCGCGCGGCCTCCCCACTAGTCGCCCGTCGTGGCGACCACGGGGGTCGCACGCGGTCCCCTCCCGTCGCCCGTCGAGGCGACTTCGGGGGCCGTGCACGGCCCTCCCCGTCGCCCGTCGAGGCGACTTCGGGGGGCCCGCGCGACGCCCTCCCTGTCGCCCGTCGAGGCGACTTCGGGGGGCCCGGCGGCACCCTCCCCGTCGCCCGTCGAGGCGGCTCTGGGGGCCCGTCGCGGCGCCCTCCCTGGTGCCCGTTGCGGTGCCCCGGGGGGGGGGGGGGGGGCGCGCGGCTCCGTTCTCGTCGCCCCTCGGGGCGCCCCTCCCTCCTCCTACCTTTCACCGGCAGTGGCCGCCCCTGGAGCCGCCCATCACTGCAGCAGCAGCCCCTGGAGCCGCCCACCACTGCAGCAGCAGCCCCTGGAGCCGCCCATCACTGCAGCAGCAGCCCCTGGAGCCGCCCACCAATGCAGCAGCAGCCCGTGGAGCCGCCCACCAATGCAACAGCAGCCCCTGGAGCCGCCCACCACTGCAGCACCTGCCCCTGGAGCGGCCCGTGCTTGCAATAGCCGCCCCAGTACCCCTGCAGCAGCCCGCGGCCCGCCTCTGCAGTTGCTCGTGATGTCGTCCCTGCACCCCATCCCCCCTCCCCCGTGCTGCCCATTCTCCCGTTCTGCCGTGTGTTCCGCGGTGGTTGGGGGGTGGGGTGGCGAGCTTGGGGGTGAGCGGTGTGGACTTTCCCCTTCCCTTTCCCCTCCTCCTCTTTTGTCTCCCACTGCTGCAGCTGCCGCTGCGGGGGGGTGGAAGTGTGGGAGCCGTGAGGAGTGGAGCTAGGGGGGTGATGTGGGAGTGGAGCTAGGGGTGAAGCAGGGGGTGTGTGTAGGGGGGTGTGGGACTGTTTTGGGAGGTTGAGTGGAGGCTGCTGTCTTGTCGTCCGCAGCACCTGTAGTCCGGGGCGCACTGTCCTGGTAGCCCAGAGAGCCTACTGCGCCTGTCGCCCGTGGGTCCGTTGCTCCTGTAGCTCCTCGTAGCCCGTGAGCCAGTTACTCCAGTAGTCCGGGGCGCTGTCCCGGTAGCCACTGTGCCGGCCACTCCTGTTGCCCGTGTCTCTGCAGCTTCATCCGTCGTCTCCCATCTTCTCTCCTCTCACAGTCCCTCCTCCTCCTCACTTGCCCGCTGTGACTACCACTAGCTTTGCTCATAATTGTGAACTTTAAACTGTTGCTTCTTGTAATTGTGCTAAGAATGTGTGGTGACATTGTGATCCACCCTGAGCTTGTTCTGCTTTGCTTACTGTGCTAATTACACCCCACTTTGGCTATGGGGGTGTGTCAGAATATGTTGTTTGTGTAGCCTGCAGTGGGGCACTCAATAGTGAGTACAGCCCCTTAGGGTTTATTATTTGTATCCTGCTGCTTGCTAGTTCCACCATTCCTTCTCAATTCTATTCCTGCACACAATCCTAGCTCGAACTTGGCGCCTCCTCGTTCTAGTCCTACTGTGGCCTAGGCTACTAAGCCTAGGCCGTACTGCTACTATCTTTGACA